CCCCAAAACCCCAAAACCCCAAAACCCCAAAACCCCTAAATATGAAATTTTTTGAAATTTATAAAAAAATTACTCAAATTCAGTCAGTAAGGTCTTGTTCCTAAATGAACTCTAATTCTCTCAAAGTCTTGTGAAATCTGACTAAAACCTCTATAGAAATGAGTCAAGACTCGTCTAGTAAGAAAGAAGAGGAGAATGGGTTTATTAATGAAAAGTAAGAACTTCCCTCACCAAATTTTACAAATTTTTAATTCAATCTAGCAACAAAGTTATCAAGATTCTGAATGAAAGCCAAGACCCATGGAGCTTTGATAAGAAAGCAGCTGGTCGTAAAAGATCCTCCCTGAGATTTCCCGAATCTGGAGATTCTTTAGAGGATTCTAAATTTGATAAGAAAGCCAATTTGGAAGATCACCAGGATGTTATCCACAGGAAGAAAGTATCAAAGACAAAGGATAACCTAGGACCTCAGATCCTGGAGAGATTCAAAGAGGGATCTGGAAATAAGATACAGCAAGCCTTCAGAGGCATGGTTGTAAAATAAAATTGTTGAAAAGGAAGAATATAGCATCCATTTTAACTTAATGCGAGCTATAAAAATGATGTTCTACCATCTTCTTTTCTTCGCAACAGGCATTTTTTGAGCCTTCTTTCTGATATTAATTGAAGGGTATCAGTTTACCAGAAATTTAGGATTTATTGGAACTCATTGGTGGATAGTGGTTCCTCAGTACAGCTTGCAATTGTTCTTTATTGGCTTCCTTGCAATTGTGGTCTTCCTTCCTACAAAAAGTTTGACTCACTACGAAACCGGAATTCTGGTTTACTCTGTAATTGCAAGATGTTTTATTATAGCTGTGAGATACGGTTTTATGTCAATAACACGGTTTAAATTATATAAATCCAAGGCAACTTTTTCTTGGATTTTACATGATTTGCTGCTATTAGGCTGGCTAAAGATGACTCCAGAGTCTCTCAAAGAGCAGATCACTGCAACAAAGAATCGGGTAAAAATACTCGAAGAGGATTGGAACTTTATATTTATTGAAACTCTTCCTATTGACCTTCATAACAGATTATTAGACCTTGATAATCATAACCAAGAAAATTATGACGAAGAGCAAATTAAGAGGAAGATTAAATATTCTCGAAAAGTCCTTCATATGAGAAAGACAAAGGAAGCTTCCTTCGTTGGTGAAGATCTAGACATTATTCATAAAACTTCCAAGTCAGATAAACCCGATGATAAAAATTCTGACTCTGAGAACGCATATGGGTTCTTATCAAAAGTCGACGAAGAAAATATGCCAACAGAAGAGACAACGTACAAAGCAGAATCAATCTTGAGGGAGATGCTAACACTGGACTCTGCTTATCATGGTGTGCCAAGGTATGCATTTTGGATCGTAGGATTCAGAATTCTTCTCCAAGTATGCTGTCAATTCTTTGAAAATAATATGTCCTTCGTATTCCATTGGTACGAATATCTTGCAACTATTTGGTACTCCTTGACTTTATTCTATATCTACAATGCTAACCTCTTCTTTGTGATTTCTGGATTAGCAGATTTTAAAAGAAAGTTATTTCTTATGAAGATTCTTGGAAGCTTGATTTCAATAGATAAAAACAGAGACTTCGTTTTCTCTTCTTATTTCCCAACTATAAATATTTGTTGTCATAAAAACTTAAAGTCATGGTTAATACTCAGAGAGGCGTGCTTGGATATTGGCAAGAAGTACACATACAGGATTTTCTTATACTGTTCAGTGTTCTTAGGATTTAATTTGATCTTCCTTGGGTTCCTACTCATGAAAACTTTTAGAGTAGTCTCTTGGACCCTGCCTATCTCTGTATCTGTAACTGGAACATTTGACGTCTTTATAATCCTCGGAGTGTTATTCCAAATGCTCAGAATTGGGTCCAAAGTAAACGACTGATTTGATCATCACAAAGGTGAGCTCATAAAGATCAAGAAGCTTCTTCATGAAGCAAAGGGTGATCTAAAATCATACCTCCTCAAAGATTTCTCACACTGCCATTTTCGGCACTTATTTTCCAAAATGTTGTTAACAATGCAGAATTCCCACAGAAATCGCGACTTCATCTCTGAAGCTATCGCTCAGGTAGACATTACCATCCAAGACCTTGACTATGCGAAGGAGACTCAGCCTCTGAAGCTGATGGGGTTTACAGCTTCGGGTCAGCTGATCACATCTATTTATACAGGAGTGGCCTCGATCGGATTTGCATTAGTCCAATTTTATCTATCTGGGGCATAATTTTGAGATTTTAGAGATTTCAAGAGGGAGGTTGTGTACGGGGTTTTGGGGTTTTGGGGTTTTGGGG